TTTATGGGTTTGAGCCCGAAGTCTGGCTCTGCACTGACAGTGCAGAACCTGCTTGGGATTCCCCCTCTCTGCCCCTCCCCCACTCCCAAAATCAGTAAATAAACTTTTTTAAAAAATTAAAAATAAAAGGAGAAATAAATAAGAGCTGGTAAATAATTGGATGGAAGAATGGGGCAATTTGCTGGGAGTTTTTTAAAAATGACAATAGAGGGATGCGTGGGTGGCTCAGTGAGTTAAGTGTCCAACTTTTGATTTTGGCTCAGGTCAGGATCTTGTGTTTCCTGGGACTGAGTCCTGGGTTGGGCTTTGGGCTGAGTGTGGGAGCCTGCTTGGGATTCTCTCTCTCCGTCTGTCCCTCCTCAGCTTGCACGTGTGTTCTCTCTCTCTCTCTCTCTCCCCCTAAGTAAATAAATAAACATATAAAAATGACAATACAATGAAAAGAAATTGAATTATGAGTTCTCCAGGGATAGCCAGAGTAACCCAGTTGGGGAAGAAGAATAGGGGCTTAGTAGAAAGAGATATACTAATTACAAAAGATTAGCTGGAAACTCAGATAAAATGTCCAAAAACCAGTAAAGTGTGTCACTACAATCTGTGATGACTGTGGGTCTCTTGAGGACCAAGACTATTTGCTATTCTTCTTCATCTCCCAGCACCCAGTATGGGGCGGACACATCGCTTATGCTCGGTAAATGTGGCCTAGCTGGCTGACAAACTACGCAGAGTTGGGGGGCGGGGGGCAGCCTCACAAAGAAAATAATTCAGTTGTGAGTGTAGACAAATACGACCTTCAGGGATAGAGTACAGAGGAAGGAACTAAAAGGACAAAGATAGGAATAAAGGAATGAATATACTGAAGGAACCAGAGAGAGAGTGAGAGAGAGAGAGAGAAACAACCCACAGAAACCAGTAACAGAGAAAAGGCAGGTGTGGGAATTAAACTGAGAGAGAGGAAGGGAAGGAACGGTAGGGGATGAGGGGAAGGGAAGGAAGAGACAAAGGAAAGGAAGGGGGAGGGGAGAGGAAAACAAGAAAAGAATCAGAGGAGTTGGGGAAGAAGAGATGCTACTTATTTATAATTGGAAGGCATATATATCTCTATATAACCCCCCAACAGAGAATGCATAGATGCAAAAATTATAAAGTCACATTTAGCGAGCAAAAATGAAAATCATTAAAATGTTTCCTTAATAACTTAAAGTAAATAAATTAATAGCTCCTGACATATTGATTCATCTATTGCATGTGGGCACTCAATAAATGTTAATTGAATTAAATTAATAACATTTGCTCAATGGTAATAAAAAATTAATTAACTGTCTGTCTTTTCTGTTACTTAAGTTTATGCCCATTGGTTCGGCAATTACTTCTAGCCCAAACATGAATTTTCTATCTCACTGACTTTTGAGACACACTAAGAAATTTTTTTCCCTAAGAAATACGGTTGAGCTTCTAATTTTTGTCCTAATTTTGGTGTTTTTTTTCTGTTAAAAAATTATTTTCTCTAGTTAATGTCAAGAACTATGTATAACATCCCAAATATAGTGTCACGAGTTCCTTATTTAATTCCAAAATCGTTTTCTCTGCAGGAGTTGTGATACCACTTTTTACATGTTTCTCCTTTTAGCCTATGCTACTTTATAATACTTTGGATACAATGTCAAATAACACCGCAAAGACAAATCTGGGGAAATTTATTGTTAGCTTTCCATCTATAAAAGATGGAAGATGTCAGTCACAGTCACCCAAAAATTGTGACTCACTTCAGATGTCAGAATTCTGGGTTGAACAGACTGGGTTCTGAAATGTGTGTATGTCAGATGATTTTCTAATGAGCAACAGATAGTTCCCACTGGGGAATGAAAAAAAATAAAAATATAAACAGAGATATAGAATTAAAATAACTTTATGAATGGCAGTTTAACTTCTCCATAAAATTCTCTCAGTACAAACCCAGCGGCTCCAAATGGTTGCTTAATGTAACACACCACTTAGATTCAAAATGCTATACTTAAAATTGTCGCAAAATTAAAAAGAGAATCATATACCACTTGGCTGTATACAGTATTCTCCGCATGTTCTTACATTCCAGTAACCTCTATCCAACATTTTTTTTGTTCCTGAATTACTTTGTGCAAAAGCAATTTAAATTACGTGCAGCCTGACTACGTGTGATAATTTGAACTGATTGTTAATTAATTCCATAAGTAAATAGCCGCCACAATCTCTATACTCATCAAGGTTTCGTTATCTATCAGCTCTTTCTGAGCTGCTCTTTAATGTACAGTATAAAGCAGCTGTAACTGAAGACACAGGATTCCCTGAGTGTGCAAGAAGATAATCTTGCTTTGCAGAGACTTCTCAGGGAGAGAGGCATCTGTAAAGCTAGGTAATTTCTAAGGCTAGATCTTGAGCAGGTGATACATCATGGGATTTCAGGTTAAGAGGGGTCTGCTGATGGGCAGTTTCAGCAGCTAGGAAGCTGAGATCAAAGCTTAGAACAAATCTGAGATACTGTTGTAGACCATACACACAAGGATAAGAACAGAGCTTTTGGAACACACTGGGCCTGGGTTCAAACCCTAGTTCTCTTATTTGCTAATGAGGCATACTTGGGCAACCTGTCTCAGTAAACTATCTAAGCTTTGGTTACACTCATTCATCTGTTAGCTGGGGATACCGATGCACACAGTTCCCATCTGTTCAGGGAGGCTGATGGTAACTATCTCCCGGAGTCTTTGTGACGCTTAAGTTAAATAAGGTATATAAGTGGTAACATGGAACTTGACATAAAATGCATGCAACTGTGTCTGTGGGGGAGTGTAGAAAGCAGTGGTCTGGTTTTCAGTCTAGGTGACTTGGCCCTATAGGAGAAATTTGGCAACATCTGCAGACATCTTTGCTCATCCCAACCAAGGACAATGGGTCCTGCTGGCACCTAGTAGGCAGAGGACAGGGATGCTGTTAAATATCTTGCCATGTCCCCAAAGAATTATCTATCTCCAAATATTAATACTGCTCTATGTATGCTAAGGCATAACTCGAATGCTACCTGTTTGTAATATTAGCTAACTATGGGACACTTTGGTACGCCAGAAAAATAGACTGTTATTTTTATATCATTGTCATTACCACATTAATTTAGCGAATCTCTCTGGGGTTAGAGGAAGTCTAGAGTTTCCCCATTGGTTGAACTAATTCCCTCTATTCACAATTACATGAACTGCTATTCATGAGAGATGTTTTCATGAACCCCAAATTCTACCAGTCCAATACAGAGTGAATCAAAGCATAACCAAGAGATTTAAAGCCAGCAACATAAGGGGGAGGGAATAAAAAGCAAACCTTGCTGAAAGCCAAGGGTGTTTGGAGGTTGAGGAAAAACCAAACATGGCCTAAGACGACTGTGTGCACCGTACTTAAAGTTCTCATGCCAGTCACAAGCCTCTGGAACCTCACATAGGGAGCTTCAAACCCCCCCCCCCCCCGGGGCTGTGATCTAATCTGTTGAAGGATGGGAAGGGTTGCCTGAGCTTTAAAAAAAGTCCAAAGTTTTAAAAGATTTCCCAGTTTATTCTACTGTTTATGTGGTCTGGGAACCACTGCCCTAGGAGGCAGGACCCCATGGAGTTTTCCATCTGCTCAAAAGGAAGAAGCAACTTTTGAAAAGATGAAGAAAATGGATGGTGGCAAGAATATACCTCTTGCACTGAGCGGTGTGAGCATGGGGAAAACCAGGTGGGTAGTTGTGCTGGTTATTCCAGTGACTCAGTGAGCATTATTGGATCAAGCAGACATGGTGCTAAAACAAGAATGTGAGTCTCCAGAATGAGTCTTCACTATCTCCCAGGAGTGCTGCTAAATGACCAAGACTGCTGCTTGTTTAGGTCTTAAATTGTCCCCAGGTTCGAGAATACCATCTGTTAACTCTTTCCTAGATTTTAGGCTTCTGTTTAATGGGTGTAGGTAAGTCACAACCCAGTCTGGTTCTCTCTCTAACGTAATTTCTTTGTGTGTTTCTCTGTCATAACACTCCTCGGTATTGTGACTTAGTTATTGCTCTGCTAACACGCTTGATGCTTGTGAAAGGTGGGGACCCATGCCTGTCTTAGGTACCACTGTACCCCCAGCCCCCAGCCTGGTGCTTCCTGTGTAACAGACCCTCAATTATTAGGTGGGAATGAATGAATGAATGAATGAATGAATGAATGATGAATATGGGAGCTCTAAAATTCATGAGGCACCTAGGGCTTCTTGGCCTTCTCTATGACTCTTTGAACCAGAATCTCAGTCCAGGACTTTGCTGGAGGTTCCTTTCTAGATGGTTATATGGAAATAAAACATGTTCCAAAAAGCCCACTCCCAAAGCCCATAGAGACGATCACCTGACTGGAAGCCTAACAAATGCCAAGGCAGGGAAAAGAATGGCAACTGAGAGTCTCTGAGAGCAGCAATAGAAATGAGCTTCTAGACGGTTGATTCGTAACCACTTCTCTTATACGGAGGAGGAAACTGAGGTTTGTAGGAACAAACAGAACAATTTGATGGAGATCACACATATTGTGGAGGAGTACTCAGCATTTAAGACCCTTCTACTGCTCCTGGGATCCAGAAAACACTTTGACAATAAGCTGACCACAAACTATGAGAATTCATTGATACAAGTGAATGAATTCTTTGATTCTCTCCACCCATCACTAAGATAAATAAATAAGTGATTTTAAACACACACACACACACAGTAGACATAGGTGTTACAAATTACTGTGATAGGGAAACTTCTAATGTGTGTAAAAGTTCATAACAATTGCCTCTTCTGTTCTTAGTTATATTTCTATTCAAAATGATCCCATTCAATGATGCTTCATTCTCTTAAATAAGATCTTATTTTCACAAAAGTCTAGAGTGTGACGTTTTCTGCAAATGTCCGGTCTGAAATCACTAGGTCATGCCAACTATAGTTGGTTTGTGTATCTGTGTTTTGTTTTTTCATCTAGATATGCAACTCACAAATGAAAAGCATGCAGACGAGAAACCCATTAATGCTATCATTATAAATTCAGTATCCGAATTCAATATCACAGATGGACCAGCCAAGGAAACCCCCGGTGAGAAAAAACTGTCAGAATTCAGCACATCACTGTCCTCCCTTGAAGAATGCCAAACGAAATTTTCCTACCTCCAAACTGATACTTCAGTTCATCAGAGAGACACTGATGGTATGTTTCTCAGAATCAACCCATCTCTAAATAAAGCTCCCCAACATCCGCCCCTGTAAAATCATCACATATGCTGTTAGAAAAAAAGAGCCTTTATGAATATTAAACAGGAAGACTTCGATTTGAAAACCCTGGTGAATGACACATGTCAAGGTCACTCTGCAATTATGAGGTGCTTGGCAGATTGTTTGCTCTCAAAGCTGGAAATCAGAGGCAAAGTGTTTTAAATAGCTGGAGTGAGGTATAATCATGCTTGCTGTGGAGTTATGATGTGGATAAAGAAAAATGGCAAACTTTTCTCAAGTCGGGGACTGTTCAGCCCCTGTCTCCAGGCTGAGAGGAGAAGAGGGCAGAGTGGAATGGTATTAAGATGCTGGAAATGTATAAATGTAGACTGTAAAGAAATATGAAGATGCTTCCATCAGGAAGCAGTAAAGAAGGGTTGGTTACTCTAGCTGATATCACCTCCTGGGCACTCTGATCAGTGCAAACCTACACTTAAACCACCCCTGTATATGACATAAAAGACACGTTCCCTTTCACAAAGCTAACCTCAGATTGATTTGGTGCCAAGTGATCCTCACAGTCAAGTTCAAAGTCATGGACTCCACACCAAGACATCTGTAATTTTACTCAGGTTGACTTTGCAGTAACCTTTACGGAAGACCTAAACCATTCAAGAATTTTGTAGTGTCCCATATCGACATTTGCATCTTAAAGAAAGCTTGCAGTCTCTCAAAGGAAAATATAATAGGTCATAGTTTCTAGTTTAGATTTAAATTAGCATTTTCTTTTGGAAAATAATACAAAATAAATAAATAGACTTTGTATTAGCAGGGACTTTGGAATCGCATCCGTTTAATTCCTGGCTCTAAAATTTATTAACTGCATAAACCTGGATACATTTTTTAGCATCTCTGAATCTCAGTCTCTCAGTTATATTTAATGGAGCTAGTGACACATCATAGGGTGTTTTGAAGATCAAATGAAATAACATATATAAAGGATCCAATACAGAACCTGGCACATAATAGATATGTGATTTTTGCTTTCATTCTGGTTCCGGTTTTAGAAAAGAAGGGGAGAGATTTCTAACACATGTTATTTACAATCTTATGCACACATTGTCATGGAAGCTTCAGACCAGAAGCTCCAGACACAATTGCGTGCAGCTGCCAGGAGATACTGTGAATGATGAAGTAGATGGGCAGCGAACAATAGGGGTGGGCGAGGACCGCGGCAAGGTGAAGAGAGCCGCCACTACTCAGCTCCAGCTAATCGTTGCCAGAAGGAAATAGGGGCTCAGAGTTGCCAGGTCGAGAGTGTTATGTGAAATCTCTGAATTGCTTAGGTGCTGGCAGTACTTCTGTTTCATTTATGAAGCCCTGGACACTCCCAGCAATACTTCGGGCCAGCTTTGGCCAGTGGCCTTCCAGGTTACCACCTCAATCAAGATGATGCCCAACTTTCTGGCTTTGCTGGAGTTCCATGGCAGTCAAGAAAACAGGTGATAACAGGAACCGATGACATCAGGGATGCATGGGTCTTACGTGTAATGGGTCTTGGTTGTAATAACCCCAGAATTAGGAACTACCATTGTACATATCCGCACAGCACAACACAGTGCGGTCCAGACACACTCTGATTTGTCCTCTCAGGGATCTGGGGAGATTGAGAAGGGCTGGCAAAGCAAAGATGATACCTGAACCCTTGTATTCTCAGGGGAAGGGCCAACATGTCTACTCCGTGAAAATGGCAACAGATAATCAGGAGCCTCGTGCAGGAAAAGAATGAACTTACTCTTTTTTTTTTTCTTCCAAAAGTGCAAAGGAGATTCGTGAGGACAGTTGAATTAGACTGTTTTTCTTAAGCCATGGCTGAGAGGCTGGTCCAACCTAGAAAATTTCAATTTTAGGTTGACAACACAGGTAACAGCCCACTAATCCACTCGCGTATTGTGAACTTCCCCCACCAGCGACCTGGGAGTTTTTGGTGTCTGGATAAAAGAGAGTGAAACGCTCAAACTAGGGTCCACAAATGTGGATAGGAAGCACTCATTATCTTAAACGGCAAACATCAAGGATATCAAGAGTTAAGTCGGAGAATTTTTATAGTAATTAATTTAAGGATGCAGAAATTGAGAGCTGGGGTCATTGTTCGTACTGAGATAAATACAGAAATATCTTTCAGGAACAGCAGGGGAAACAGAAGGGAAAAGAGAAGATTGCATTCACTTTCATGTAGTTTGTGGTTAATTTATTTTCAAATGTATAAATGAGTGCATGGGAAGGGATGCTTAATTGCTAATATCTATTATTTATATACATTGCCCCACTTAAAACAGAATGGAAAAGCCTCACACATGCAGATTTTGTAAAATGTGTTACATCCATTAGCACAGTTCATGGTGTGTGCTCTGATGGGAATTTAAAAGGATCTTTACTGCACATCACACACTATGTGCTGCAACATTACTTTATTATTAAATTGTGGCTCATTCTGTGTGGTCCCTTTCCCGAATAAAATGGAAAAAGTCCAGAGCACTGTCTGTGTCTCTGCTCCCGTTTCTACATTCTGATTGCAGAGGCATCCCTGTGGGTAATAAAATCAAGGATACACACAATACTCGAAAACAGCCTCCTTAAAAAGAATCCTGAGAATATACCTAATTGATGTATAATTTTGAACTTGAGACGTCTCATCCAGGTGGAAGAGGAAAATGATAAATACAAGCTACCTCAAAAGAATAGTCTTAATTACACCATGGACTACTGAATAAAATGATTACATTTTCTACACTGTAAATTTCATACAATTAAATGCAGCAGTGTCACCTTATAAAATGTTTCAATTTTATAATTATTTCAGTTCATTTGCTCAGAAAAAAACATAAGCACAAATTTACTAAGTATCACCCAAATCTAGTCATCCTCGTGCTGAAGAACTGACTTGAGCGTTAGTTGTGCTTGTCTGAACTTAAATAGATCTTGACATATTTAAGTAGCTATTAAAATTGATAACATCAGGGATGATACCCCAGCTAGAGAAAGGCATTCAGTCACACTTTATTTATTCCTATTCTACATTACAGACTAAAAAAAAAAAAAAAAAAAAAAAAAAAGAAGATGAAGAACATAATGTTGGAGGAGTGGGAGCCAATTTTTACACTTTTTGACCAAAAACTGAGTAATTAGTCAGAGCCACTGTGCCACGAATCTCATGATTTTGCTGAATCTGCTGCGACCACTCATTACCCATTAACATATTGGGACACTGGGTTTGGGCCAGGTGGATTTCCCATTTTTTATTACTTTGCTTTAAGGGGATGACGGCGGGGGTAGAATGTTGTTGATGTGGGAGCCCTTCCGGAAGAACCACATCCTTGCTACTGTGGATAGTGATTCCCAGACTAGCAGATGAATGTTTCTGGAGCTGAGGAAAACCCTCAGAACTACAGTGGACAGCTACGTCTGCCTCCGTCCCTCCCTCCTCTTAATTCCAGGCATCATTGTCCAGGTGACAATATTGAAAGCTGGGAAGGCAAACCCAGGACGGGGCCATGACTGTGAGGCTGATCTCTGACACCCCGGTGGAAACTCCGTGCATTGTTACCTTTTCCACTATAATTAAACATGATCCTTTCTAATGAGACTGATTCTCCCTCTTAATTAGCCAATCCCCAGCTGTACATTTAGCACCTCTGGAGGCTGTGTTAATCCTTCAGTATCATTAGAGTATCACTTAGCACATTACAGCCTCAATGTCCTAAAGGTACCCTAGGGGTGTAAAAAGGAAATGAAACAACCTAAGAGGGTTTTTGTCATGGCTTCTTGCTCACAAATACCGCTTTTGGCCGCATGGCCTGCAGATCTTGGCTCCACCTTGAACCTTCCCTGATCCAGGTTTAAGGGGGTAAGAGGTGGGGAAGTGAGGCGGGCGCCCTGAGAGCAGTGATTAGAGCCGCGGCCAAGATGCCAGGGCAGTCAATAAAGGCCCTTCAACATTCAGAGACCTAGTTACAAAGATATTAGGAGAGGTGAAAAGCCAAGTAAGGGAATAGTGAGGCCTCCTGGGACTTAGCAACAAGGCTCTGCCACCTCTTCCCTGGGTCCCTCCCGGCCACCAGTAAACGAAGAGTACTGGCCTTAGCTCGTAGGCCACTAGGAACTAACCATTACTTGACAGACCACTAGTAAGTGGCATTAACAGGAGCCACAGAAAGAAGGATGTTCAGAAAGAGATAAAAATTAAGGGGAGGATACACCTGAGACAGCACTCAAAGCAGAGAGAGAGGGGAGGAGAAATACCCTGGGCATTCCCTTCTCTCCCTCACCACCCCCCCTCCATTTCCTGTCACTGCTTCCTATTGGCTGAAGTTGGAGGAGACCACTTGACAGAACCTGGAAAATAGACATTAGCGGTCTTGGGAATACAGAGAGGAGCAAGGTAAGAGCAGGAAGGAGAAGGGAGAGCAGGCGTTTCATAAGCCAGTAGTGTCCGACGCCATGTTGGATCCCGACAGAGGAGGTGTGAGGCTTCTGAAGGGCAGACCATCTGCAGGCGTAAGAGTTCTGGAGGGGACAGTTTGAGTCAAATCATGGCCCCACCATTTCCCGTGCTTCTTAAATTCCCTGAGCCACTGTTCTCCATCTATAAAAGAACTGCGATAGTATGCAACTCGGGCTCACTTCAGGACCTATGTGAGGAGCACATAAAATCCAGAGGGCCGGGCACTTGCTTCCGATGTAACAATGGACAAGACAGCACAGGCTCTGGATCCAGAAAGACTGACATTTGAACCTCTCCTCCACCACCTTACAGTTGAAAGATTCAGGACAGTCAGTTGGGGACGACTTTATTTATCTCCCATCATTCATTTCCTCATTCTTTCACTCAACAAGAGATACATCTTTCTTGTAACTCAGGTTCTAGAAGGGAGAGAAACTCATTAATAAACCAGTTAGCTTCATGTCATCTTATGATCAGTACCATGAGGGAAAAATAGAGTGCTATGAGAGTTTCAACAGGATGTGATTTAGAGAGAAGGTATTTTAAGCTCAAAATTCCGAGACTGAGTAGGAATCAGATCAAGATGTGAGGCAGGGGTTGATGGAACACAGACCAAAGAGACAGCGCGCGCAAAGGCTCAGGGCTTGGTGTATCCCAGGATCTGAAAGCCAACCAGTGTGGCTGGAGTGCAGTCAGTGAGGAGGAGATCAGGACAAGAAGCCAGAGAAATAAGCAGGAACCTATACGCAGGCATATGGGCTAAGACCAGAATGTGGGACTTTAAGGGGAAAGTGAGTTCTTCTCATTTCCTGTGAAAAAATATCACAGGGGATGACGAATCTGAGCTGGACTCCTATAAAAACCAGTGTGTTCGATAGGAGGCTATTGCTTTGGACCTGACAATGGCCAATAGTGGCTAGAACTAAGGCAGTGGCCCCAGAGGCAGGCAGAGGCTTATGGGTTTCACATACCAGTATGAGATAGAATGTGCAGAACGCAGTAGGGAATTGGAAGGGGGGCGCTATGACGGGGAAAAGGAAAATGACAAGAATGAGTCCCAGCTTCCTGCTCATTTCATGTGAGTGTGTAAGAGCCCATTCACAAGAGAAAGCCGGAGGAGAGACAGGTTTATGGAATAGGGAGTGAGGGAGAGCCTAGTGCAGACAAGCCTTGGTGAGCGGGCAAAGTCTTGAAGACATTGCAGAAGCCATGAAGGCGGATGGATGCACAGCATACTCTTTGAGATGGACTGAGGGAAGAGGTCCTAATCATTGGCTCTGACTTTGCATATCGTGTTTCTTAAATATTAAAGCCCAAGAAATAGTGCAGGCAAAGGAAAATACATCCATTCAGGAGAAGGGGAAGTCCAACTCTCTTTTCAAACACTTGCAAATTTCCCCCTGAACTGCTTATGTTACTTTTGTGCAAACAAAAATTGCCCATATGCAAAACAGTTTTGCCTGCCCGTGTAGAATTATTTAATGTGCCTTTTAGGAAAAGTTTTCAACACTCTTGAAAGTTCGGAAAATCTGTTTTCAATTCACCGATGTTGCCATGTTTTTTTGGGCAAGAGGCTCTGCCTTTTATAACCAAATAAAAAGGAATGACTTATACACAGGGGAGGAAAAAAGAGCCCTATTCTCAAATGCAAAATAGGAGAAAACAAATACCAGTTTGGCCAAAGGATTAGGCCAAACATTTTTGTGAGCATGTAAATAAAATCTACGGCGTACCTCAGAAGCGGAGACCTCCAGAGTTTGCTAATTTGAGAAAATGCTGGCAAGAGGAATTAAACCAAAAGATTATATGCCCTCAGGAAATTAAAAAGCCATTTCACAAGTAGGTTCCTCATGCTTTGATAGGAAAGCCCAGCTCCCATCCCCACGTCATCAGCTCCGTCGTAACGTACCTGCACATCAAACTTTCACCCTGACATCTACAAAGGACAAAGATCATTTGCTATAATCATAGTCTGAGTAAGTCTCTTGAGCCTCTAGCCTGAGGAATATGGAGCAGACGCTTGGAATATTTTCTACGGAGAACTTCCTCTTTTTCAGGGGCTGCTCCAGTAGCCTTCCTGGCATTAGGAAAAGTTGATGAGGTTTTATGCTCCATATCTTTGACCACCAACATGCCCTGTTCAGAAATGTATAAATGAAACAAAGCCTATGTACTGTACTAACTAACTCCTGAATTTTTGTGGGTGGTTTGTGGTAACTTAAATGGGTGACTTGGCCACATGCTAGAGCTGGCTCTAAGTGAATAAAAAAATACACCCCATCTGGCAAAGAGATGAGTACATACACCCTCGAGGTATTATGGGATATGCTGCCTAAACTAGAAATATTCAGGTACAGCCACACCACCTGCAACAATGTACGGCAATTAAAGTAGTCATTAAAGTCACCTTGAGGCTCTTTATCACTGCCTGATTGGGACGAAAGGAAAGGAGGGTGTGAGGCAGGGATGGAGGGTGGGACAGAGGCCGGAAGGCTTTTGTTTACCTATATGCAAGGTCACTTTAGACCTTTCTATAATGACTCTACAATAAATTTCTTCAAAATATTTATTCCCTTTTAGAGCAAGTTTCCAAGCTCTCCCTCCTTTTAAGGATGAACAAGTATATGAACAATAAAAGTAAAAAAAGTTTCTGGAAAATATTGTTGGAAGTAAATGAACAGGGCTCTAAGAATTGTCAGAACCCAAGAGCAAGCCTGAAAACCAAAAGTTATTAACATTAACACTCTTATTGGAAACAAAATAAATCCTTATGAAAATCTAACTGTAATTGATTGATCAGCCCATCAAGAGGAGATTTTTCTCCAGTTCATTCCACAATGTCACTTTCAACCATCAACAATCTTCAGGATACTGATTTTCATTAATTAAATGATATATCATGTAAACCTACTTACCTACCCGTTTATAAATTGCTCACATGTTTTTGAGTCTTTTTTAACTAAAAAGGAAAGAGGTATGATTTTAACAAGAGAGCTGCTACATCTTCTAACTAATTCCCTTTATGGAAACAAAAAATATAATAATCCATAACCCATCACAGCTGTTTGGCTAGAATTACCAATTACCTTCAATGCCTTAGAGATACTTTTCCGATTTTTACAAGTCTGCGGTAGTAAATTTTTGAACCAATTTTCTTAAGGAGGATTGAGAAGATTTCTGTGCTTTCAGGCATATGATGACGTATTTCATTTAACGTGAATATAGAATCAAGGCTTCACAACACTGGAGGACAAAGGACACAGGGATTAAAAATAAAATACAACCGAAATAAAAACTATAGCTTTTTAAAAAATTATTTATATGGGCTTTGAAATGCACTTTTCACTTGAGTGTGAATATGGGTGTGGCAGATTTATGGGAACCCACACCATACAAATGAGAAATCTTGGTGATGAGAAGCCGGAAATTGGTACAGTCTCTCCTTGTCCCCAACCCTAATTGCTCCTGAAAGCTCCCCGCACCTGCGGGGAACCAGCTATTTTTCAGACAGCTGCAAGGTTTCCAGATAGGTAGCTAATTGGTGTGGCTTCCTGGCACCTCTGCAGGCAAAGTAAATAAAGGAGTTTAGAAAAGTGACAGCGCTTTAAATACCAGATTATGTGGAATCAATAGAAATGCTCAGGAAGTTAATAAAGCAATTACTTAAGTAGAGTGAGTACTGCATGGGGGCAGGGAAGCAGGGGAGAATAATGGTGTACATCACCCCCCTAATACGGACAATTAAGAGTTGGCCATAAAGTTATCAAGCACACCACCACATACGCCTGTCCTTAGGAGACGCCCCCTATGTGCCCGTATTAATTTTTCCTTCTACTTCTTCTTTAAACAGAGGAGTGTGCCTCCCTCATCCTCGCCTGTCTGTTTTGCCAGTTTTGGGACTGTCTCCTGATGCTCCCGGATACGTGCGAAACGGTGTGTACCAACCTGTGCTGCCCCTCTCACAGGTACCATCACACGTCGGATGAAAGCCACCCTCGGAATGACTGCAAGTGTAACTGTGACGTGGACTGCAGCCTTTTTGAATCTTGCCACGAGACCAGCGATTGTCTGGAGTTGGCCATGGAGATTTCAGAAATCTGTTACCGCTAGCACAAGGAAGTTAACCACGTCCCAGGAGACCCTTCCCCCCCCCCCCCCGCCCCGGGGAAACTCCATGACAAAAAGACTGTGATTTCTATGTGCAGAATGTAAGGATTGTACCCATTTCTTGGATGCTCTCGACCATTTTATTCTGCACCTGTCTGACAAATCAACTCAATGGTGTGATTCCAAATTTCATAACCGCATGGCTTGCTGAAAAAATATCTTGATCATGTGTGATGAACAAATCTTAAATACCTCTTAAACACCGTAAGTACAAGGTGTTTCTTGCCTGTCAAAAAAAAAAAAAAAAAAAAAAGCATGCTAAACCACTCTGTGTTCCTGCATTCATTGGCTTGCATCATGGATCCAACTTCATTCACAAATTCAGGACAAATTAGTGCATTCTTTGAGAACTGACATACATTAGCTCGTCTTTGTAATGGCCTCATGCATAAACATTATGCATTGTTGGTTATTATTAATAATGTATTGTGTAACATCATTTTGTAATTAAAAATTTATTTATACAGTCTCTTAAAATTCACTTATATGTACAGTTTAGGTAGGAAAGGGAATTAAATGAATTGGAAACCATGTTCCTATAATTACAACAGATGTCTCTAAGACATCTCCCGTGAATTTTGAATATGATGTACTTCCAGAGAGTATTGTAATTCTAGACCGTATTATTACACATCTATGACAACATCCTAGCAGGTTATGCAAGTTCTTAATTTGTTACAGGAATGCTCTTCTTTATTCCAATGAGCATAAATGCAGATTATATGCAAGTTTCAAGAAAATGACCCCAGATAATCAATTCTTCATTTCCCTCATTTCTGTTTGTCAGGTACAATAAGCAACAGGATATTAAACCAGAATCACTTCATTTCACTAAACTAGCACTTCTGCAGGAAGCCAGGAGAAATACATGTTGAGGGACTTATTCACCACAAGTCTCCTAATACAGCCTGTGCGTCAGAAATCATAGTTATCCTTTTTTGATAATTAAAGTAATTCACAATTACACTGAGTACTTTTTCACATTTACAAAAAAAAAATTTAAGATGTGATATGAACTTGGAAAATGGTTTTCAGCTCAAGCAAATGAAAACAAACCATTTGGGAGGAAAACACGTCTAGGTTGAAGATATTTTGGAATCTTCTTTACTTTTAGTATGGCATGGCATTGTTCATTAATGGGTGCTTGTATAGTCATATATATATATGTGTGTGTATATATATGTATGTGTGTGTATATATATATATACTTTTCTATCAATAACCAAAGAAAGAACACAGAAGTGAAATGAGGAGAGGGAACTTTCCACAATCCACTCAAACAACAAAAAAATCCCAAAATGTCTGCTTTTGCCTGACTTCGGTAATTTCAGGCAAAAGAAAATTTATTTTGTGTCTTTAGCAAATGAGCACATTTTTCTATTCTGCAATAAATTCCTCCCCATGTTGAAAACTATTAATATTTAAAAAATGTTTTTAAACTGCTTGTAGAAAGGTGTTTAACTGCTCCTGGAGTGCTCCTGACAATACAGCGCATCCACAGTTAATGCAGCTTTGTTCCTGTTTGACAAACATTTTATCCACAAACCACAGAGCATGACAGTGCCCTACACTGCCTGCCAAATACCTCAGTCTCTCTGCTTTCCAGAAGATCAAGGACAACTCTATACTCTATGCTTAGAACCTGCAGATAATTTGCAGGAAAAAGAAGTCGAGTGCTAGAACAGGAAGGGAACCCACGACTGTTCCAATCCAATAATCTCGTTCCCCATAAGAGAAAATAGGGGCCCCAAGAACCAACTTATCCAAGACCACACAGTGAGTTCGTGACAATGTCATGAACTCTAACTGGTGGTCTCATTTTCTAACTAGAGTGCACCCCTCAATAGTTCTCCACTTCCCAGTCCAGCTGGTACACCGAGGTACAGCTGTTCGAATGGTGTGAATATTAAAATACTACCAGACCGGCTCATAAACAGTTGTTACCTTGTACCTCCTTAGTGGTTCCTCTATGCCTCCAGGCACCTGGGCCCCTCTCCAAGCACCCATTCCACCTCTCTAGGGTTCCAGCCACTAAAAGAAGAACACCAGAAAGCTGCAGGGTGTCTGGGACCCCGTTCCGATAAGACGGAACCTGGCTGGTGTCATTGATGAGGCCGTGTCATCTTAGTGTTAAATATTCTGACCATCACCGCTTATCCTTTCTAGGCTAAACCGTTAAGTTGTGCAAAGATTAAGCATTTCAAATGTGATTCGAATACTTGTCAATTAGAGACATAAAAATTGCTAGGGCTGATTTTATAATGTGGTCAGAATCCGACAAGATTTGTCTGTGATCTCTCTCTCCACGGTTAGTTAACTTGCTCCTCACTCTCAGAATTCACCGTGCTGTAACAGAAAGGGTCGGTTATACAAAGTATGAAATTTCTTTTCTTTATAACCAATAATAAAACATCATCCTTTTTGCAAACATGAATGGCTCTTTCAATTGAATTCTTCTACAATAAAACATACACAGCTGGGAAAATGCAATTGCAGAGGTAAGGCAGATGAAAAAGGAATGTGGTTATTGATTAAATACAGATATCAGAATCTGAGAAGGCTCATTTTGTTCTATAATGATGAAGGCCTGTGATTATAAATAATGACAATGTTATTCTTTAAAATGGGCTTCTTGGGGAACAGAGTATTCCTATTTAGGGAAGCACATTAGATAAAAAAAAAAAAGATCTGAAAACATACAACATTTATAGGGAATGGAGAAGAGAGATTCCCCTCCCCACCCCCACGGCAATATAACAAGATCATTACATTGTCTTTGCTTTGCTCAATGGATTTTTATAAAGCCATTACTTCCCCAAAAGCCTACAAAATATGGAAAGCAATGAAGAAACATAGTTACACTTAACTTGTTAATGAAAATTTCCCCCTACATAAGCTGACAGGTATACAAAGTTAATTATCAATGCTGGAAAGTTAATCAAGCAAAAGTCACCTCAGTTTTTCCAAAAGAAGTAAGAAAACGTTCAAGGCAGGGAAACTTTATAAGTAGGAAGCATCACATGGAGGTACCTTAGCATTTTTTTTTTCTCAAAACTAAATGTGTAGACAGAAATGTGTGAAGGAAAGAATTCATGATCCAATGGCTCCAAATGTCTCCTTCTATAAAATGGGGCTAAGGAATAACGTGTACACTTAATTAAGGTAGTTTGGCTATAAGAGTTTTGCTCATCAAATGTTAAGTTCACCCAGGCTACACAACCTGATGACCTGTGATAAAATTGATGCACTTGGTTTAACAGTTTGTTGGGTGTTCTCTGAAGAATATATCTGCACTAAAACCCAAAGAGTTGCCATGTATAGCCTCATGTGAGCTGCTTGAAAAGGCCGAGTGAAGACAGAATGATTGTCTAGTGATTATAATCAACATGGAACTAAAATTGTATTATTGGGCTTCTCTACATAGGTCTAGATAGTCCTTGACATTATTAGGAAGGAGCCCAGAGTGTGGGGGGAGAGGAAAGAATGATGATAGAGGCAGGACCTGAATTATTATTTAAATATACAGTTGACTCTTGAACAATGAAAGATTTTGTGGGTCCCCTGCCCAGTCAAAACTCCTCATATAACTTTTGATTTCTCCCCAGACTCAACTACTAATAGTCTGCCGTTGACTGGAAGCCTTAGTGATAACATAAACAATTGATTAATACGTACGTTGTATCTCGATTATGTGCTGTATTCTTATAAGAAAGTACGCTAGAGAAAAGCAAACATTGCTAAGAAAATCATAAGGAAGAGAAAATATATTTGTACTACTGCACTGTATTTTTGTAGTGCTGCACTGTATTTATTGGGAAAAAAAATCACATACAAGTGGATCCACACAGTTCAAACTCGTGTTGTTCAAGGAGCAACTGTAAGTGCCACCTTCTGTTGTACCATCTTGATATACTTTATAGTCCTGCTTTTACCATGATCTCTAAACCCACGGTTCTAGATTTAGGGGTAATTCTACCCCTCAAGAGGCATTGGGCAATGTCTGAAGACCTATTTGGTTGTCAAAATGGAAGCAAGGGCAGTTCCGCTAGCATTCAGTGTGTAGAAACTAGGAATGCTAACTCAACATTCCACAACACACAGGACACATCCCACAACAAAGAGAGAGCTCTGAATGCCCTCCTATCAGTCTCAGTGAACCATCCCCAAATAGATCTGAAAACACCACTGGAAAGAGAATTGCCAGATAGCCCAGAGGCTGCCCAGTGAACTTCAAATTTCACATAAACAACAAACAATACCGTACTATAAGCGTGTCCCAGATATAGCATGTGACATACTTATACTACAGAAACAATTCCTCGCTTATCTAAAATTCAGATTTAGCCGGGTGTTCTATCTATCTATTTGTGAACTCTAGCACCCTGGTTCAAGACTCCACATTCTGAAAGGGACCTGTGGAAGGAATGATCCTCCAACTCCCTCCCCGTCTCTGAAAGAGCAGTTGTTTATCTCTTTGGTCAGAAGACAGGACAGTCATTGGGCCCCAGTAGTATAGTTTAGGTGAGGGAGGTTGGCTTAGAGATTAGCAACAAAGCAGGAAAACTCTCATTTTCCCTTCAGCCTCAGGCTTATACTTCGACCTTTCACTAAGCTGGCCTCATCTCATTTTCTTTGCCTCACTTTTCTGAGGTGAGACCTCAGTTAAGAACTATCTGGATTCAAGGGGTAGAAAGCAGTAGTCCTTACTTATGCCTTGACATCAAATCACATCATCTGGTTCAACCTTGGCCAGAAAGACCCATCGTGATGGTGCTTGCAAAGCTATGAGGATGTATTTTTCCCCATCTAGCTATTTTCCTTTCGTGTTGCTTGCTCTGTCAAAACTGTGGGGGAAAGGGGTGTGTGAGCATTTCTTGGGCCTGGATTGCAATACCAGTGAATTTAACTGTGCTCTCTTAGCGTTTAATCAGGGGTTGGCCAGA